ATTTTACATATTTAAGAATAGGTGCAAACCAGTAGTGAAGGAGAATGCAGTTTCTTAATTGGCTGCACTTTCAAATTAACCTGCCTCTTTTCATTCCCTGGGCGACGCTGACATCTAGTGGAGCATCTATAAGGGCTTCAGCTTGAAACACCCCACGTCACTGGCACCGTCACCACCGTCACCACCACCGTCACCACCGTTCTGTCCAGCATCAAACCCCATCATGACAAATACCCAGGACTGTAGCTGTCTTTTCCTTAATTGCTGTGATGCAAGCCCAATGTGAGGTTAGCTTCATCCACGACCCCGATTCCTGTTCCTGCAAATAACGGCTGTGCAGCCGGCTTCAATTTCTAGAATGGTTTACACTCAAACCTCTTTCCAGCACTTAGAGAGCAAGCGCCGAGCCCACACAGACTCACGGGCAGGCCTTTGCATCACCAGGTGCATTAATTATGACATAATTAATGGGGCTCTCGGTCACCAGAAGGGTGAGTTTTCACTGGCTCCAGCACCGCCCCACTCGGCCGGGACAGCCGGGGTCCTGGCCGCTGCCGGTGCCCGGACACGGCGTGCGCGTGTGTGTGAGATGTGAGCAGCAGACAGAGGGCGCCGTCCCTCCGCTCTCCACCTCCCCGCGGCAGGCAGAGCCCCACTTGCTCTCCAGACCATTTCCTCTTGAATGCAGGTCGCTCTGGCAACATCTACTCCTGACACAGAACAAAACCCATCTACGCAGACAGCAGAGGGGAAGGAAACGTTTACCACTCGAGTTGCCGTTCATTTGATTCTTCCTTGCCTTAAATTTGTCTCCTTGGTCAGTTACCCAGTGGGCAAAGTCCAGGACACTATTTTCCAGGCCATTCCAATCCAGAGCTGCCCGTATAAAGGGAGGGGATGGGCTGGAACAGCCCTATTTTAAAAGATACTTCCTGGCTTCTCATCCTTTGCCTTGAATAGAAACCAAAGCCAATGGCCAGTAAACATGTGCCTTAGAAGGCGTGGGTGTCCCTCTTCCCGCCACGCCCTCAAGGGAGCGGCAACGATACAGAAGCACCCCTGGTCCGCGCTCCAGAGCCCCCAGGCGCCCGCTGTGCTGTGTCCCACACGCGGCCCACCCTCTCCGCATCTTCGACCATGAGTTTCTCAATCCGCTGAGCCGTGAGTCAGGGCGCTGCCCATTCTGTGAGGTGACAGCTTCTGAACGGGAAGACCCCACCTGGGCGTACAGAAGTGTCACAGGGCTTGATAAGCCAGGAAGCGCTGTGTAGGTGACGGCCCTTACTCTTGGCATGCTGACAAAACTTCACGGTCAAGCATCTTGTTTGTGCACAAATTTAAGCGTCTCAGATACTCACCTGATTTTGCAGAAACCTAAATACTCCCTCCCAATCACACCGCCCTAAACTACTTCAGCTAAAGCATTAACATCAATCATTCCGTAACGTCAGTGGTGGTGAGATTAAAAACGAAAGCAAGGCCACAAAGACGCTTTGGCCCTGCAGGGACTCTTCCCAGCAGCCTCACCGCAATGACTTTTGCTTACAGCTCGGAGAGGTTAGGAGACTTGGCCAAGGTAAGTGGAGGCCAGGGTCTGAGCCTGTCTGACCCACGCTGGCCTTCCAGCAGCAGCACCTGCCAGAACGCACATGGCCCAGGGCAGTGAGCAAAGGGAAGGGGAGAGCTGGGAGGAGGGGGTATGCACTGCCGGCAGCAGCCCTCGGTGGTAACGACTGCCCAGTGACCGCCACGGAGCTGGTGGGAAAGGGGTGGGGGCTCTTTCACACCCGGCAGCCATGTACACCATCAAGAACGCCACTCCCAACCTGCTGTACAGCACAGGGAACTGTATTCAATTTCTCACAGTAACCTATAATGGAAAAGAATTCGGAAACAGATATATATGAATGTATCTGTATAACTGAATCGCTTTGCTGTACACCTGAAACTAACACTGTAAATCAACTACACATCCAGAAATAATGAAATTTAAAAAGAGAGAAAAAATTTTTTTAAAAATAATGTCATCTCCAAATAAGGGCAGAGGCCCAGATGACAGATTCCTGGACACCCCTGCAGAGGCCTCCTTCAGTTCAGGACAGGAAATACTGAACTTTGTATCCAAGTCAGCAATCATCAACCAACCGAGAGGAGAAGTTGAATGGTTTAAAGCAGGGCCCCTGACCCCAGAGGCTGGAAATGTCTTCGCTGGGGAAGGGGGCCGACCTGGGCGCTGCAGAACGTTGAGCAGCTCCATGGCTGTCACCCTGAGGAGACGTCAACAGGACCATGCCCATCCCTGCCCCCAGCTGAGACAACTCAAACTTTCTCCAGGAACTGTCAAATGGCCCCTGGGGAGCAAAACCACCTGGCTGAGAACCACTGGTTTGAGAGCACATACTAGTAACACACAACCTAGTCCTGGAAGGGAAAACACTCTTCTTGAGTCGAATGACCGCAGTCACATGGCAGCCTGCCTGGATTCTGTGCTCGGAGTTCTGGGCTCGGCTGCAGAGCCCTCCGTGATTGACTGGTAATGTCTGCTGTGTGCAGGGGAAGGGACAGTAGCAGCACTTTGGTGTCCTCTGTAGCTCAGGGCTTCTCTGCATCCCCACCGCCAGGGGGCTTTTAACAACCTCACACGCCTAGGCCCCACCCACAGATTCTGAGTTCATAAACCTGAGCCCTGAGAGCTGACGGTGAGTTTGAAAACTGCTCTGCAGATGGTTCTAAAGAGGAGTCCAAGTGGACCGACAGCCTGATGTCAGAGTCTAAACACCCCTGCGGAGAACGGGGTCGGTGGATCGATCTGACTTACACATCGCACCTGAAAGGCTGGAAGCAAACGTGTGGGAATCCTGGCAGAGTCCTGTCACCTCCTCACGTCTTTAGCCTGAGACCAAGAAAGTCACAGGGCAACAGCTACCTTTCTACAAACCCTGCATTCTTTGTTTCTGACACACGTTTCAGGACTCCCTGCAACAGAGACCTCCCCGGTGTCCTCCCCATCCACACCCGAGCCTGTCATCGTTCTCTCAGCCTTCCACGGAACTCAGCGCCCCTCTCGGTAGTCTGGTTTGGGTGCTACAACCATCACGGAACCACCCGGAGGCCAGATGAGGACCAGCTGGAATCCTCCGGAATCACACGCAACCCCACCTCCCCGGGGACACTCACGGTGAAGAGGTTGGACCGGCGCTTGGACTGCTTCCGTACGGGCGTGGGCGTGTTGGCCGTGGGCGGCACGTCGATGCGCAGCTCCTTCTGGCTGGTGCTGGGCGTCGACGGGACGGAGGAGGAATAGTCGCTCAAACTCCCACCTCCGTTACTTGTCTGTAACGATGGAGCGAAAGCCAAGCTTCTGTGAACCACATGCTCCAGGAGCCTCGCCCCC